CATGTCATGCTACTTGAGAAAAATTTGGAGTAGTGTATAGAGATTGAGAAAAAAAGATACTATCAATATATATAGACTGCTAGGTGGATTTCGAATATTTTTTGATGTAATTACTCGTTCCATATATGTATGTAAAGAGTCAATAGTCTCCTCTCAAAGACTAGAAATTGTCATAGGGTGAAGATCACCTCCTATTTGGTTGTACTCTAGCATGTCCAAGGATTCCAAATTGTCATAGGGTGAAGATCACATCCTATTTGGTTGTACTCTAGCATGTCCAAGGATTCCAAACCTTCGTAGCCTAGCCGCATCATCAAATAAATCATGTGGTTGCATTTGAGTTCTCATTTGCCTGATTCAAACAATCTCTTGCTACAAAGTACTTACTGTCTTTCAGAGGCCAAAATTTTAATTCAAATCGGTAAATTTACTTCAAATCTGTACCGATACGAGACCATAACCATCAGCAGCAGCAACCATTACTTATGTCCACCCAAGGAAAAATAATGTCACCCAAAACCCATGGGCATGGGCACCCAATGTTGGGCTCTGCTGTCTTTCATCGCGCATTTCCACTGAGACATCTTTGGATTTGGGCTGCTGGTTCTGGGGTCAACGCTGGCAGCATCGACTGCGCTTGGACGCAGCCTTTGGAACCCAGGAAGGTGAGGGGGTCCCTTGGCTCGCAGGTATCTGTGGTACGTCGATACGAGATTCATTCGGGACTACCACAGCGGACCAGTTCTTTCAGGTACTGATGGAAAGCGTTTGTAATCTAGTATAGGGCACATTCCCAGTGCCGTTTTGGCATCTTACAACCCTTGCCTGCCCGTCATATACGAAATTATATACTTCGTTTATTTATTTCTATCCCTCAACCCGCCGTTAGATGCGCTTAATTCCAGAAGGACATAAACTTTTTGTGGATAGATAAATTTGCCCCTTGATCATGTGTGTGTAAATAATTATAAATATAAATACATCTCCAATTTTTCATACCCTCCAATAGATGAGATTAAATCCAGAATAGCATATGTTTCGTATAGATGGATTAGTTTGCCTATTGGTCATACACATGTACACATATATTCCAATTTCTAAAATCTTCCAAGACATGTGCATAAACCCAGAAAGGTATAGCTTTTGAGTTGTCCGCATCTTCGGAATCTTCACGTCATAAAATAATCAGGTACTATATTTCCAACCATGTTACACATTCAATACAAGTGCCAAAAAAAATTCCAAAAAAATTTCACTCGAGAGGTTTCTTAAAATGTAACCATAAAATGCACATGAAATATTTTTCTTCCGTCATCACTTACTCTACCATTACCTTCTACCGTAGTCGAATTAACAGGACTTGAAATAATCTTAACCTTTTGAGGTTTCACAAAAGGATTCGTTCTTAGTCTCTCAAATCTGATATGATTGATTTTGAAGACTTTGCTAAGGATGGAAAAGGCGGACTTCATGTCACAACTCCACACCTTTATTCCTGACTCGCTTTTCAGCCCATATTGCAAAATTCCATGAGTGCCACTTTTTGACCCAAGGGATATTTATATTTTTACGAATATAACCATCGGACGTAGTAGCTAAGCTAGAGTTACTATATGTATTCCGTTCTCTAGTAATTACAGTATGCTTCGCGAGAAATTTCTATTAACAACTTTTGAAAACGGCAGTGAAACTTCTAACGAACTTCAGTGGAAAGTATTCTATGTATGGCAAACAAATCTTCGAGAACATATGCGAACAGGTATCCTCGATGCGGTTGCCTTGAAACCGTGGTTGCCATGTCTGTTTGCTTTTCCTTGATGACCATGGAAGTAACCAAAAGTCTCCCGGGCAATCTACGCTGACAAACATATGTGTTTAGATTGGGGCAATCATATACTGTACCTTGGACGACACGTCGTGAAGCAGTAGGCCGACTGCAATGTCAACGTAGTTTCTCGACAGTACAGTTTTTCGACTCCCACACACGTGCAATGTCGTCGAAAGTCCCAGATATGTATCGTTGACATGGTATAGGTACTGTCCTCCAATCGCGTTTCTATCGTATGCCCTTAAAAGATAGATTTGAAAAGATCAATCTTCAAAAATGATAACTAGGTGCCCTTTTGTTAGCACTGTAATATATATATTCATAAATGATGAGCAAGAATGATTGGGTCATTTCCAAGAATCCATGATGTACTATTCTTGACAAATGTCTTTCCGACCCCTATTTGTGATCAGATATAGCCGTACATGGGAGTGATGTGCTATAGCATTTCATTTACATACACGATAAGAACACACTAGAGATGATTTACCTTGGAATTTGCTGAAATTTTTTTATTATTTTTCTCCTTTATCCATTCATTACACTTTTAGTAATCTTTATTTATCTCCATGGATGGATTATTTCAAAGTATTTTATATCCAGTTTAGTAGATTTAACAGATCTTACTAACTCTAGTGTAATCTTACCACTACTAGAGCTAGGGTACAATATATCTCCATGCTACAATTTAATCTCTTGCAGGCCATGTCCTCATGAGATCATTGTAAAGCTTTTTTTCGACATGAGCTCAATCTAACGTTCCAAACATGTAAGTAAACATTACTTCATTAAAGTGGTAGAAGTTAGTCTATAAACTCCAAAGAGTTTTTCTTTTAGATCGGTTCATTTAAATCGATTTTGACTACTCAAGGTGTCAATGACCAAGTGTCCATTTGTCTTCTTGTTCATTTGGGTATAGTTTACTCGTAAAACTTAATAAGGCCTTCTTTTCATCTGGCTCGTTGTTTTACTTAGTCGTCCCCTTTGATTCTGACAGTGTTGTATAATTCTGATTCGGCACACCCGATGCACTTTTTGGAAGGATTTCCATCATTTTTTCCGCCACTTTTGGGAAAAACGTGTGATAAGATTCGCCGGTTTCATTCTTTTAGAACAGTACACGGGAATGAAGACAATCTCCTCTCCTTCAAATCTTTTTCATTAAATTTTCAAGCTCTGCCAGCCGATACTCGGAAGAGCGCCGGGAGTGCACTTTCCATCGGAGTACGTGGTTTGATGTTCTTCCATTTCTTTGAAGATACTATTTTCTATTTACTGTACGACAACGAGATGACGCTTACCAGATCATCCATGTCCCACACTGAATCGAGCAGGATCATGTCGAGTCATCTACCGTAAAGTTGCGACATGGAGTCCGCTTCTTCCTATCATTTCACGATCTAACTGCTGACGCTACATTTGCTTGCATATGCTGTGCTACGTTGTATGCTTTAGAGGTCACCGAAGCCTTCCGATAACCTTCGGACTAATCCGAGAGCTGTTTCCTAGAAACAGCTCGCACTCCCCTCCCCGACACTCTTCCATAAGTAACGGCTACAACAAAATGCTAGTATCCATTTTTGTCTTCAGTTCGTTTAGTTGACTGAAAATATTTAGTCACTTTTCTTAGTCATGTACAAGAGGTGTTACGTGCAATCCGCTCTATAAGAGAGAATTGTCTGAATATTGAAAGTTTAATCTAGAAGATTCTTTTGGCCTTCCAATAGAATCAGTGATGATGATTTTATTGTAGATTAAAATTATGATTTTTAGGTAAATGTGTATGGATGATGTATGAAGTCTAACTTTGGATGTTACATAAATCAAGAGTATCAAAGTGCTTCACATCTCCTAATGCTCCAAGGCCGCCTCCAAACGAGCCCTGAGTATTGTCCATATGCTAAGGAAATCTGTTGCAGAATATCCAAAAAGTAATTCCTGCATTTTCTTCGAAGAAGATCCCAGCCATCTTCTTCGTCGGAGTGGAAAAGACCTTGCCAGCCCCATCCACACGCGTCTACCAAGACTTCAGTCCACCGGGAAATGAAAGACATTCCTTTATACGGTGGACTTATGATGACCATATTCTGGCCATGGAGCAGACAAAACTTTATGCACGAATATCTTGTGACAGTAAATGCTAGAGAAAGTTGCCTCTCGTGGGCTGTCCTGGGTCGAGTATTAGTCTGCATGCACCTTACAAACACTTGTAAATCGTAATTATGTGAAGAAATATATAGATTAACAACTTATTCCAAGAGAAATAGGAGTTGAAGTCAGGATTCTATGATAACTCGTTTTCTTGTTATTATTTGAAAACCTTAAGAATAAGAATGTTTTGGAGTGTTTTGGACCAAGAAACTAAGCTAGTTTGTGGTGGTTTTGTTGGAGCCTATAACCTCACGGATCAGAAGGGTTTTGAGGGCGCAGATTTTTAATAATGTGTCACAGTTCTTTTTTAGAAATAAAATGGCTAAAATAATTTGCTTAAGGTAATGGATGGATTAGCTCCAAAGATCTGCAACCATCTGCAAAATGTTCTTAGTTTGTGACCATGAGTAACAGATGTTGGGAGGGAGCGGGAGATCTTTCAGTAAAGTCTCCCAGTGTTAGGAATTAAAAACACTTAACCGTCTCAACACTTAAGGCAAAGTTTCTATGCAATGAATAATGCCAAACTATACATATAACTAACTAGTTTCTAGATCTAGTTTATGCTAGTTTAACTAGTTTATGCTTTGAGTCTATTATTAAAGACATCACAAACCAACCGGAGTGCTCTAAGTCTAAAGGAAAGAGATTGTAGCGCAAAAACACCGTTGCATTGTTTTGCTTGTCACAAAAAAGACGTGTTCCATGCTACAGGCTGGTTTAACTTGTACGTGGTGATTAAATGACTAAGTTAATGAAAAATTATCCATGAAAGGATGTTCGGCATGCCAAATGAACGCGGGAAGTTTCTATGTGTGCCAAATCTAAGTCTCTTGCGCACAAATTTCCATGACGGCACCAGCATGTACAGAGAGTCCGCTGTGAACCTGCTGGTCAGTTTAGGCAGCTTTTACCATCGTCGTAGCCTTTACGGTAGTCAGTGTTCCTCACACTCACGCCGACTGCGACTTGGTCCTCATGATGACGGTTGTCTAGGATACCAGATGCCAACACCTGGATCTGGCCTCGTGGTTTACTTTATTCAAAAGAACAACTCACTCAGGTGTATACACTTACTCAACATGGTGATGTTCAGTAAGTACCTTCAACCCATCCGGTCTCAGTAGCTGGTCAAACGCGTTTCCTCTACTTGTACGTATATAAATGTAACGCAGATTACAATCCAACAATCTATCCTACAGGCAAGGACAGTCGATTGGGTTCTTGAGATTTCGCTTCATTTTTCAATACCAATTCAGGGCGACCGCTACGATCTCTGCAGATTCAAACAACTGAGTCAGAGGATTTGCAATGAGAGGTGAAGCACTTGACCTCATCTGAATTGTTGGTTCGCTTCTATCGGGCAAAGCCCATGCATGTTTTCTCGATTTGTTATTGCACTACTGTGTATCAGGGGAAAATTGCCAGCGTTGACAAATCTCTTGAACATTTTAAGATTTCAATGCGTAAGCGTCGTTTGTATCTTTCATACTAAGAGCATGCTCTGAAATTCGTGAACTCTGGATTTTGCAGACCTCAATCTCGTCATTCTTCTCTCGTTGCTTCTCGTTAATAGCGTAAACGCACGTAATGGACCAGCTCCGTCTCCCGTACCGTCACCCACACCGTCACCTAGTGAAAGCAGCCAACCCCTGGATTTTAAATACATTCAACTTTGGGCAGATGCGGATGGCGAAACACATATCGCGCAGTGTAGAATGAGTGGATTTCGCGAGGACGCTTACAGCTCTTTGCCTCAGTTTGTAAGAGATGACTTTGGTGGGAACACGACGAAGCTCATCTTCACAGAGCTTTCTGTCGGTCTAACGCAGCCTCTGCATTCTCCACCAGCCGTGCAATTTGTCGTTACTCTTTCAGGTTCCTGGTACGTTTCCAGTCCAACGCTGTCTCATGACAAGGAATTTTCCTACATACATTCTCTTGAACCTGACTGACATTCTGCTCCCCCCTCTGCCAGAGTTCAATAGATGTCATAAATATCTTCAGTAAGCTCTCGTTGAACTTTGTTAGTACTGCCTACAATCTAATTTCTGAAAATGTCCGCTTGAGTTCCTACCGCAGTACAAGATTTTCAGCCTCTCAGTGTGTAGCGATTTATCATGACCAGCATTCAACGAACTGACTTGCTCACAACAAGACTTAAACTGGATTAGAAGTAGAATGCTACCGTTAAGTCACTGAGAGATTGCAATTCAGTTTTGGCAATAAGCTTTTTTTATTTTGGTTTGCAGGTATATCGAGACGACAGACGGTGGCTACCATGCATTCCAGGCCGGAGAGGTGCTCTTCCAAGATAACACCGCTAAGTCTCCGGCTGCGAAGATTCCTGAACACTACTCAGGAACTGTAGGTGATGTGCCATGCCAACAGATGGTTATACAACTCAACCGAACACCAAACGTCGATTCTGTTTGTCCATTCTAGAAATTGTCACGTGGGATTGACTCTTTACCATCGTTTTGTACATCGAATTTGAGTACTTCTCGTTGCCGCTATAGTGGCTCAAAAATTATTGCCGGATAGCATTTAGACTGTGCCGAAGTGTACATACTGAGCAATAAATTTTCTCAATACGGATCGGCTGTGTTGCCAAGTACTTGCAATTGTGGATTAACTAATCTGTACGTTCTCTGTACACTGTCGAGTGGTTACTCAAGCTTGTTGACTCTTAAACTTTTCACTTGAGTTGTTTCTCTTCGTTCAGATGAATATAGTTGCAGGATTAATCAGATTCAATAAGTGGAAGAGAAGTGAGTTCTGATTGAAGCATAAATTCTTGACTTGATCAAAATTTCGTTTGAATCAGCCAAAAGTGTGAGTAGATGAATATCCGTCTATGTTTGCATGGTACTCCCAACTACTGCAAAATTACCAACGACTCTCCTACTTTTATAGCAACGTCGACCTACAAAACTATACACATAGCCTCGGCCTGTATCTTGTCACGGTAATAACGGAGGCTCAGTTGTTTACTCAAGGTGAACGTGGTGATTCGAAAGCAACAATCAAATCCCTTGCCTTACTATGTCTGCCAATTTGAACAGAAAGAGCTTCCGTATGATCCAAATCTAACGTCGGACAAATCTATCAACCCAAAAGAAAGACTATGCACGACGCTCAATTCACGTCATGTCTTACGGTGTAAACCGTCTCTAAAGCACATTAATAATACTGCAAGGGCACTGCTTAATTCAATAATCATGTAGACACTCTATTGAAGATCCAAAGACAATCTCAGCCAAGAGGATCTCGATAAGAGTCTCTTGCCAGAAGTGTGATATCCCTTTGTGCAATAAGTGCGCGACGTGTTCATGTAACAGGAGCATTAGTGGCTCTTTTCCAGCCTGGTACAGAGGACGTTTTAACCACGAACTTCTCAATATCTGTAAGCATTCACTCCTCGATGAATGAGTGGGTGCGGAAGTGACTGTTACTCCAAGGAAAGATTCCAGTAAAGGCAGATGCAGTTGCGCCTCTGGGCACATGAGCTCGGAGGACGTCCGTTATGACTCAGGTTGTCCTACAATCCCAGAGGCAAGTTCGTACCTGGAGATAATATATTTTAATAGTTATTTACAGTTGGTTGTAGCCCGACTAAGCTACGCGTGCTCGTCTACAGTAAAGTCAACAGAAGAAGTTGACAACCAGGCTTAAGGGCCTGTCTGTCCCCTTTGAGGACTTTGTCTCCCTTCTCCAAGATGAGATGGTGTCACAACAGGAACACATAATGCTTCAACCCCATTGGTGCAGGAAGAAAGGAATGTCTACTCTGTACCTTGTCCTCGGTCAATGAGACCAAGTTAAGACCTTGGGTGATTACGGACCTTGGAAAAGGTGAGTAGAGGTTTGCATATCGAGGCGTATAAGATATTTTGATTTCTCACTTTCAGTTCATCGTAGACAGGTGAGAGAAATGTCGAAATGCTGAGAAATGAAACCGAGGAAAGGCAATGAATGATAACTGAATGGGTGCTGGTTCGAAGAAAGCACCTGTTCAGTGCTATTTTTGTTGATTTACAATCATGAGAGGCTGCTCAATGTGAGTAAGAGCTCATGTGAATGAATGTGATCGTTGGTAATTCTAATGTTATCTATTCACTAGAAGGGACGGTCTAGACTCTACCCAACCTACTCTGAACTAGATTGTGTCCCTCTCGTGCTTCGGCCCCTAGGGTTCAATTTACCTGCACATGAGATACGGATGTCATGGCCTAATTTTGACGCAATGTCTTAGTGGGGACCGAAGGAGGGATTGTTTTGTGGTTGCCCCATATATTGTTGGCCTGGTGCAGTGAATTGCGGCTCGCCGGTGTTGATTGTGGGATATAAACCGCCACCCTGACCCGTTGAACCTGGTTGAGGAGCAGAAGCCATGAACTGCTTGTCTGGAGCCTGCTGCGCTGGTGGGGGTTCGTCGAATATTGGTGGGCCTGGTGTGAGTGCTACCTCCTGGTATACTGGTTGAGGCGGCTGACCCGGAGAATCATAGATGTGTTTCACTGATTGCCAGCCTATCAGTCACAAGAAGTAAAACATGAGAAGATAAAAACGATGTCAGACCATGGGATTCAATCATGAAAACAACACCTGTTAAACCTCTGACTTCTGATGCCTTACTGATTCTCCAGAAGAAATTTCGACAAACGAGGACTGCAGTTGCTGAGAAAATCTGCTGCAAATCTCCCTCTCTTCTGTATAACTAGAACAGAAAATGACCCTTTTGTCTCGGTTGATCACGTATATGAGAGCTGGTCAAGAGGAGTTTGCATCGAAAGCCATAACTCTACGTACAGTAACGAATTTTTGTGGTAGAGTATAAAAATGCAAATTTTTTCACGGGGGTGATCAGGATCTCACCGAGACTTGGGTCGATACCACGGTACTTGAGTTCTCTGTAGACTTGGCATATGGAGCATTCTATGCAGAAACAATCGGTGCACAGATCTCCACAAGGAGCTTCAGGCAACTCAAACTTTTGTCTAAGGCGTGCCCGGTAGCTGAAGGTGTAGAAGCATGCACAGCCGGTGCAGTATTGGAGCAAGCAGAACACGCAGCCAGCCATACAGCAAGCTGCATTGTCACAGGCCGAGTTGGAAGTGTCACATGTTAGTAAGCCCTTTCAGACTGAACAAGGCCAATGCGGCCATGCATTCCGCACTGGGAAAGATTCAAACGAACGCAATCCAATTTCCTTCACCAAAGTCGCAGTCTGCACGGTCATTGCACGGGAATAAGGAGTACTCTCTTGACCTCTTCTATTCTACAGACAGCCATGATCTTGCTTGAAGACCAGTTTTCCTGTGATCGTCACACCTTACTGCTTCGTCTATCCAGCAAGACATTCACTGGTCAGAGATTGGAGACTATCAATCCCTATGTTCCAATTCAGGTACAACTTACAAGTGACTCCTTGATCGATGATCTCCACCGTACGCCCGACCAGAACACATGGACAGCAGTATCCGAGGCAGCCTGTAATTTTTCAGCCACAGTTTAGCCGCAAGTACACAGAGCAAGAGTTCAAACAGATAAAAAATCAGACGAAAACTTTGTTGGTTTGAATGAAAGCAAAGTAGGTCCTTTCATGATGATGACAGTCTACAATTACCATCTTTAGCTGTACCAAAGATCAGACATTCTATGCCAATAGTAACTGAAAGAGAAAACGTGATACTGTGAGTTGTGGAGGCAGACTTTTTCCTCCTGAGTTCTAAATGTTTAGGCAGCCGTTCATTGACCAGATTCAGAGCATACAGACAGGGAGGCATCGTGCGAGGATGAACTTACATGAGGAACAATCTTCGAAGCAGCCACACAAACCAGTGGTCCACCGGCCATTGAAGGCCGGTGGGTGTACTATTGAGTTCCCAATTTTGAAAATCTACCGAAACACCCAAGAGCTAATTAATCTATGATGTAGGTCGGTGACAAAGGAACAATATACGTGCTGCCTGCTCAACGACAGAGCAGACCTCGAGGAATGAGAGATTCAACAGCTCGTGCTCTGATCTAGAGCTGACGAAGAGCGGGTCCCAAGAGGAAATGGAAGGCGAGTTCGAGAGGAAGAGGATTGAAAATCTTCGAGGTTATAGCCTATATAAGCCATAATTACCCTGGCCCTTATCTGGACTTGGAAACTGTCAAATGTCACCATATATCGATCGACAGTCAGTCAGTCGGTCATGACACTGAAGATTCTCGCAGTAAGCCCGTTCCCAGCTGGTCCGCCCGCCTTCAAGTGGTCCGCTTACGCCTGAATTCACAACTGTACCCTCCCAATTCCACACCGTCTTCCACTAGTTCCGCCTCTGTCGTACGATCACGCAGAATCCAGTCACTCTCATAGCACATGATGAGAGGTTTCATTGTTGACTTTCTTATCCAGCCTCATTTGCCATTCGCAGCCCTGCTGCAGTGCACTCCCAAATGCTCACTGACTCGGTCCTCTGCCTGATCAGCGCCTGGACATGAGGAGCTCGCACGGCCATAGAACGTGACTCATCTGGGGGCGTGACACTGTGTGTAGTTAGTCTTCGGTGCCATCGACGGCCTTTGGCTCGGGAGGCGAAAGGACCTGATCCACCACCCTCGCATGTTTCAGTGTTATGTATCGACGTGGTAACAGTCATGGTCCTCATGGACAAGAGAGACGATCGGTGTTGATAGAATGATCTCAGCATGCTCTGATTGACGACCATTGCAGAAGAGCAAATTCTTGGGATTTGAGGGTGGGATTCTGGGGGAAACGTGGGATCAGATTTTTTTTCAAGACTCTAGATGGTTGTGTAGTTGCGAGATATGGCTTTCTCTCTTGCTCCTGTCATATTTTGTGTGATGATCTCTCGTGAGCAGTTTTTAGTTCGTTTGACAAGCTGGAAATCAGATCCAGAATATTCAACACCCTTGTATAGACCCCACGGAAATATCTATATCGTCCTATGCTGGAACTCGACCTTGAGCATTACGACTTTCTGACATTTGTAAAAAGAAACTTGACTAGCTCTCATCTTTCAGTCACGTGTCTGAAAAATTCACGCTAGTTTTCTGGTAGTTTTTGGAGTTCGCAGCATGCTGTAGAATTTTGTGACGGGTTTAGGACAGTTCAGAGTGCTCACCCTTTGGGAGAAGAGAAAAATTGCAGAGCTTGTGGGATCAATTTGAAACATTCTTATTTTTTTCTTCTATCTTTTGCACAGTAGTCTGGTCCAGTCGATTTCATAGCCAGTTGGGTTCAATCGTTATATTTGTAAGGACAGCCGAAAGCACAGCAGCACTTCTTCTCGTTAGATCTTCATTCCTCTCATAGAAGCATCGGTACTTGATCTGATCAAACCTGCACTCATCCATCCAGGGACAACATTCGAGACAGCACCAGAGCTCATGCGAGGTTTTGACTGAGCTTTAGATCGTGTGGTATTATCACATTATTCAAATCTGTCACAAATTATGTTGAGACTTCAATTGGGCTCTCTTCCACATATAAACTCACGTGATTTGAACCAACTTCTCCACGATGATTCCTCCTTTGGCCACACTCGATACGAGATAGTGCACATCATGCCTTCCATTTGACATACCGGTCTACTTTGCTGCTCAACCCTTCGATCTAGTCATTATAAAGAAATTGTGAAGAAACCGGTAACTTTCAAATGCCGCCAGCGTTTTTGTTCTTATTAATAAATATCTGACACAGAAACACAGAAGTTTGCGCATGGTGATTTTTAATCACTATGGGCAAAGTTCACTACGGTACTAAAAAGCATATTCCCAAACATAATCAAAAGACCAGAAAGAAAGCAGATTTACAGAACTAAATTAACCACAGTTAATCAAAGGGTTGCTAGTTCGGAGACAAGAGGGCAGTATATAATTCGGTAAAATTCAGCCTTGGAAATGAAGTCTTTTTGTGCTTACGAGCCAGAGATCCTGAGATCTGCTCTCTCGTTTTTCCAGTATAAATCAGATTTAGGCATATGGCGAGAATGTAACTCGAGCATTTTTAATTATTTTGACAACAGAGAAGGAAACGGATGGGAATGCCCTATCCAGTCTTCCGTGGATTAAACCACATTGGTAACATGGAGATATGTCCCAATAGCATCATTATGTGAAAAACTAGATACTTTACCTAAGATCTCCATGTTGTTTGGTTGCAAAATTCTATACGGTTTGTATAAGTTTCAATTACATACGATATCGCAAAATAAGCTTCAAACAACTTATTAAAATCATTGAAGTGTTCATATGCAAATGTCAATTTCAAAAGTTTATATAGCATGCCTAAATAGTCCCATGAAAATGGGCATCGAGTGGTGGACAGAAACAGACACACTTTGATTTGTCAAGACAAATTGACCCCTCTAAATGATATTCCAATACATTCAATGATATTTTATTGCTCATGGATGAATGCAGAAGTTATAAAATGGTAATAATCCACTCTGTAAAACAAGTTATTACGTGGATATACTACAGGGTTAGGTTGACTATTTGAGAACTTGATTATATTGCTTACTTCTCTCAATCATCTGATCATATACTCGTAACGATACATACAAAAAATAGTGGAGTCTGTATGTTTCAAAGATAATAAAAGTCAAGGTGATGGTCAAACTCAAGGGTGCATCCCGGGTGATTCAACTATATGTCTCACTTGGTTTTTCACACATCGGGAGATGATATGAAGCCGAATTCCTCTAAGAAGTGAAATATGAAAACCATATGAATGTGAAACTATAGGTAGAAGGATAACAAAAAAATCACAAGATACTCAATGATGTATTCCACACTTCCTGCAAAACCAAAAGCACTTAAATAGGAAAATTCAAACTATCGAACTTAAAAAAAAATTACACTTTTGATACATCTATTTTCTTATTCCAACTCCGGAACAATGGAAAAATTTTAACGAAAGAAAGACATTGAAAAAAAAGATCTATCAGATTTTAACTGTAAGAATATATATATATATATATATATACACACGCTTCACGCTGTGACACAAAGGCATTTAAGGGTAAAATCCAAAAGAAACCTCTCTCAACTTCACATGTTACAATATACATTAGTCCTACATTTTGGAACAAGTAAAGGTGATAGTTATACAATAAAACCATGAATGTCCTCATTCAATGTGTGAATAATTTGTCCTTTATATTTGTGGCTAAGGAGTTTGGACCATGAGCGGTCATGTTCGGCAACAGTACCACCTCGGCTGGACCAATGAAGGTTGCTCTGATACACACTCCAGCAGTACTGTACATATCTGACGAACCATCCTTTCTTTGGTCTCAAGAACGGCGTTGGCTTAGATTTCGACGTCGATGCAAAGTCTGCAGCTCGTGGATGTGATAAAGAAAACGAACAAAGAAAAGGAAGTGTACTTTGCACTTTAGCAGGTGCAGTACTCACGCCGATTGACTTCATGAAAAGAGCACATCAATCATGAACGATTGACATGCTTGCACATAGGCCCCGCACCTTGGAGATGGCGTTCGTTACCGGATAAGCAGTGCCGTCCTCATCAGTCGTGTGCAGCTCAAGTTGATGTAACAAAAAGGATGGAAGACCCATCTCAAGTCGTAGGTCCTCGAAACTATACCTGTAGGTGGGATGGGGCTAGCCCAGCACTCATAGATTTTGGCAAATTCCAGGTTTGCCATGATTAATGTATGCAATTTTTTCGCATTAATTTTGATTATTTTGGCATGAATATGTAATTTTAACATTTTCGTCATTTTCACGCCCCCAATGAGCACACACGCTTTTCGCCATCAAACATTTCAGGACGTGACTCGTCCAAAGATTGAGTCTAAAAATGGAACTCCAGATTCACGAGGAGTTATATCCATTGTGATGTTATTGGCTATAATATATAATCCCAATAACATCCCAATTTTCCACAACTGGATACGAGGAGCTTCTTTCAACCTGTAAGTGCTTTTAAGAGTAAGGATGACTGAATATCTGAGCATGTAAACCGTGGTCCTTTCTGGTGCCCAAAAGTATGAAGGTTCGCAATCCTCCTCCCATTACCTTGTACCTGAACTCCGAAATGATCACTTCCACAATTGAGGTGAATTTATGATAACGAAGGAGTATAAATTATACTCCATCGTTATCATAAATTCATTATACTGTATAATGTATCGTCATATCATAACTCACACCTTCGAGTGAAATATTTGGACATCCAAGATTTTCTGGATGATGTACTTTCGAGTTCAAAAAATCGTGTCCTGAGTACGGGAGGCATAGAATCTATATGAGTCCGTTCCTTCTCAGGATCTTCCAAACTAGGTTTCATGTGCTTTAGAGCTACGATCTTCGTCAAGTGTCATCACCTAGAATCTTTTCTCCTTTCAGATATGCAATTCTGTTCCGTAGAAGATGAAACGAATAGTCTCTAGATCATTCTGTGAGATTAATGGGATACCGCACGAACTAGAGGCCGGATTCAATGTCTGCAACGCTTTGGTTCTCTTGATTCAGTCTTAAATTTTTTTCATCTCACGTACTGCAGTTGAGTTTCCAGGACACACGGAAAATAGAATTGTACTCTGCTGCAAAGATTTTGTGTCCTTTGGGTTGTAAAATCTCTGAAATCAGCAGCATTGTAGCTTGGGACATCTTTCACATATCTATAGAACCAGTGCTCCATGTACGGACTGCTTGAACTAGAGATGTGTAGACATTTTCACGTTTTTCGGATGAGATGATATTGCTGGCTGAAGTCATTATTCTGGTAACCTCTAAAAGGTTTCCAGCACTTGGGGATCTGTTTCAGCCCTGAAGAATCCCAAATATGACCCCATAATCGCCCTCCCCGAAGTGTTTGTTTATAAGTTGCTGCGTGCTGATAAAGACCGAGGAGTATTCTCCTCGCAAATCCCTGCATGAGGGTGACGTCTGAAAGTTGAGCTTTAGCCACTTCCGTTACGATATTTCTATTCTTTTCCATGCACAGATCTCCATGACCACCCGTGTCCCCTCCGGACCACAGTGGGTCCGTTAGATTCATATTTATCTATGTATTCCTAGCAGTCCTTTCGTACGTATGGAAGAAGAAATCGTTTGATCATTGGCCATGATTTGACCTTACGGCTGATTCATGTGAATCAAGGTTTCCAACTTGGGTAAGAGCAGAGAGTAAGAAAGAATCGACAACACAGCCTTAAAGCCGTGAGATTCTGCTCTTATGATGGCTCCCTTGAGCAAGTACTCTTGGAGACTGAGCTCAACCGGAAGTAAAGCTCTATACTTGAATCCATGGATTGGTGGGACAGCTTGCAAGAGGACACTGATCTCCTGCACTAGAAGTTCACGAGCCCCACCAGTTCTTATTTCGCTTCCGAAGTCAAGAGCAAATTAAATCACACATAACTTGGAAGAAAGCCGTCCCAGCATCCGCACGAAAACTCAACACGTAGTCGTACCGGCTCCACCCAGACTTACGGTATATGAACGTGTAGAAAGTGAAGAGTGTACCCAGCACCAGCGAAGCCATCATGTTCACTGCTCCGGCAGGAGGTATACTGCCCATTCCTACGAAGATTACGTGTACTACCAACAGTCGGATCCACTTGTGCTGGGACAGTACAGATGAGCTAACCATACAGGAACTGGATTCAGTAGGCCGATCACAAACCCCCAAATCGTAGCTCTGTAATATCCATCCGGTCCAACTATGCGCCTAGGA